ATTAAGGATTTAAAAATTATTAAAGTTAAAATTTATAATAAAAACATAGTAAGTGGACTCAAACTTTTGGAAGCAACTATAACTTTTTAATAGAACTTATAAAAAGCAACTTAATTACAAAAGTTGTAAAACCAAAATATTATGAAAAAAAATAAATTCTATAAATGCAAAAAAAGATTTTAATATAAAAAAATTATAAAGTAGAACCAAAAATAGAAAATTAAAAAAAAAAAAAATGATATAAACATAAAAGTTTTATAAAGAATAACTAAAAAATAAAAATCTTATACAGATATTAACAAAAAATATTAAATACATAAAAAATTTTAATCTCAATCATAACTTTGAATAATTAAAAAGATATTTAACTGAACTATTATTAACAAAGTAACAAATCACTTCTAAAGTTATACTTAAAGTTAATTATAATTAAAATAAGTGAATTAGTTAAAGACTTAGCTTTAACAAAACATAATAATGTATAGTCTACTATAACTAGCCTGACGGGAACTCTAACAAATTAACTTTTCTACCGAGTTTTATTTGTTTAAGCATGGTTACACTAGTTGATGACGTAAAACGCGAATGAGAATATAAACAACGCGATATTTGAAACCTATTTCACCCTTTTTTGGATTGCCTTTTGAAAGGTAATAAATGTATAATAAATGTAATGTTCACGCTTTAGTTTTTGCGAAGTACTCAGACACCTTTTATTTAAGCCACAGGGTTGAGATACGAAGCCAATGGAAGGTACACAAAAAGTAGAAATTTACCAATCTCCGAAATCATCGCAGGTTGTTAGCAATGGAAATATACAAATGACTCTTAAAAGAGATGAAACAAATTTATCGCTCTCACCAAGTGCTCAGTTGGAAGGAACTAGAGATTTTCTGGATCAAGCAACGACACCTAAGGTTTGTTGCTAAGTTGGCGAGGACGATGTTTTTCTTTTTTTTACGGGAGTACTTTCAAGCGTGCTTAGCATTTCCTTTCTGTAGAAACGCAAGAACGTTTTTCACGTGACAATTCCAAAACCCTTCAGGTTTCATACCACCTCGCGTTTTGATTTTCACGACGACGAACGACCAAGAACACCAACCACTCCATTGACATTTGGAATTCGCGACGACTTCTATGATTCGCCAAAAAGAGTTAGCAAAAATGTGTTAACCAAGGTGGTTTCTAAATTTACAGTTCTTTATTTGTCGATTTTTTTTTTTGCCTAGAGTTAATATGCATTCTCTATAAAGACAAGTTTGACCGTGCCAAGGTCTCCCGTATTACTCACTAAATATAGAGCAAAACCTCCTAGGCAAGCAATTCTTTTTTTTTTTTTAGTTTTATGGAGTCAATACTCTAATTCTTTTTTTATAGATTTTTGTCGACGGAAGAGCGAGAGACGCAAGAGATAAAACAATACACTTTTAAGGCAAAGCCGGTAGTTACAAAAGTACTATGACTCCTTTGAAAGTAAAAGTTAAAGTCATCGATCAAGTTCACATGCTCGAGTTTGTAAGTAATTGAATTTTTAACGATCAATATCCCAAGATTCCTAAGATCAAAAATTTAGGTGTGCCCAAAATTTCAAAGCCCGAGCTGACAATCCCAACATCACCAGCAATAACTAAGCCCAAGCCTTTACAACAAAGGCCACCCACCCCACAACTCACCATTAGAACTCATCCAGTACCGGACTTCGGGGAACCATTTGTGCCAATCATCAAACATCGAGTAATCGATTTACCAAATTTTACATTGCCTGGCGATGAAATTCACAAACGAAAATCGAATGAAATCGAAGAAAGGTTACGAAAGGAATTAGAAGAGATGAGAAATGCGCGTAATTTCAAGGCGCAACCACTTCCAAGCGATTCGCCTGATTGTTTACCTCCACGCCACTACTATCCACTAACCCATCCCAAACCATTCAAATTGGAGACAGAATCTCGAGGAGAGAAGCATCAAAAATACTTCCGCGAAAGATTAAAAGAGATGGAGAGGAGTGAAAAGGAGAATCAATTTCATGCTGCTCCAATTCCGAATCTTGAACAGCAAGTTCCGAAGAAACCAAGGCTCCCATCACCGACGAAACCGGTCGAGTTTATTTTTCATACTGACACTCGTATGGAGGAACGCAGGGTCTTCGATGATCAAAGAAGGGTTCGCGAATCTGTTGCGGATGTCATCAGGGAGCAAAAACGAAAGGAAGAAGAGGTACGTGTTAAAGTAAATCACGAAAACTTTTGAAAATCCAAATTCAATTATAAATTCATAGCAATATGATATTTAGGCTAGAAACGCTGAAGAAATACGTCGCTTGCGAGCTGAATTGGTGCATCGCGCACAACCAATCAGGCGTTTTGCACCAATAAACATACGACCCTCGAATAAAAGGCCGACGAAAGCAATTTCTCCGATGATCGGTGAAAAGCGACGTAAGATTATGGAAGAACAGAAAAGATTATCACTTCAATCCGACTTGAATTACGGTACATCAATTATGTCGTCCTTATTTGGTAGACCAACGAAAAGGGATGTCGAGTTAACGAATTTAGTTGGCAACACTGATTCGGAGTTTAATGAATCGAATATTGCCGATTCAGACTTAAGAACTACAAATACTAGAAACCGTGCCACATCTGAATTGCAAAGATCGCAAAATGATATGTTCGTCGACTCTGAACCAAAGAGTTCTGCGAACGTAACAAATTCGGAGGCAGTTAACATCGATGACTCAAATACGCAGAAATTGACTGCTTATGATGGCTCTGAGGTGCGAGATTTGATCACCGATATTAGCTCAGCGCTACAACGGTTGGTTACCATCGATACACACTCAGATATTCAGTTTTAAACTAGCATTAGGGATCCTGCGGGGTTTTAACGAACTGTTAAATCAATTTCAAATTCGATCATTTTACTTCATGTGTCGATTCTTAATTTTTGTAAATAAGAGTTCATTCTCACAAGATAATCATAATAAAAGTTTAAGTCAATAGTTATTTTGATGTCATGAGTTGAGACGTATTTAACATTATAACATGTTCGCACGAACTAGTTTTAGTTACGTCTGCCATTACGTATCAATTAAGATTTGCCACGAATTATGCCAATCTTCGATATATGTTTGTTGTGTAACACGCTTTGTATAAGTATAAACATCCGTCAACGCAGGAATGCATAGTTTGATCTCATAGCTGAAGTTAATTTAGAATGGCAATACCAATAGAAGAATGGTATTATGAAGTGCCTTTTATTACGAGGACATATGTGACAGCAGCAGTTCTAACAAGTTTGGCGGTGGTACGAACATAGACTGTACGTTCGGTTTAAAAATGAAATGCTAAATTCTTTTTACTTCGGATTCAGCAAGTTGGCCTGGTGAATCCCTTTCAACTATATTTCAATTTCGACAAAATCTTTTATGATCGTCAGGTAAGACGTTACCTGACTTGATCTATGTTTTTCGATTCGTTGATCCAGAAAAAAAAAAAAAAAGAAATTAAAACCCTCCCGTTGGTCTCAGTATTGGCGCCTAGTCACAAATTTTTTATATTTTGGCCCTCTTTCACTTGATTTTCTATATCATATGTTTTTTCTGTATCCTTTTAAGGTCGAAATCTATACACACATTCAATTATGAGTTTTACCTTAACCATCTTCGATTCTTCCCGATTCATTTATGTAAAGTGTACGATATAGCCGTATGCTAGAGGAAGGATCATTCCGTGGACGAACGGCAGACTATTTTTGGTTATTGTTTCTATCAGCATTTGCTTTACTAGTGAGAGATTCGTTCATTCTGGTTCTAATCTGTCTTTTCCTTTTCACCATAATCAAGATCAATGCATTCACCAAAAAAAAATTATCTATTTAGCTTCTATCACCATTTTCAAATATGCCATTCTTGGGATCACCACTGGCGTTCACATTAGTGTATATATGGTCACGAAGAAATCCTTTTATAAGGTTAAACTTTGTAGGCTTATTTGTGTTCAGCGCACCATTTCTCCCGTGGGTTTTATTAGGATTTTCCTTATTACTGAATAATGTTTTTCCTATTGGTGATATGATGGGAATTGCCGTGGGTCATGTATATTATTTCTTTGAAGATGTATGGCCGAACGAGAGAGGTCGACGATGGTTGAAAACGCCGCAGATAATGTGTGAATTTTTTTATTATTTTTATAAGCAAATTGTCGGTTATATGGATTGCTGACATTATTCTTCATTGATAGCGTACGCATGTTCGAAGGTGTTCAGGATGATCAAATAGAAAATGAAATAGTCGCCAACCCTCCAACAAATTAAAAAAAAAAAAAAAAAGGAACCTAATAACAATAGTAGCTTGCATATAAGTTGATACTTGAAATTATACATTTCCCTTATTTACAATATTAGTTGGTTAATATAATTCCTGGAATTGTACTTTTCTCATTAGATTAAAAATTCCCGATCCCTTTTTTCTTCAACATATCACGTGACACCTAGTGGAAGGTATATAAAATTGATGGACGTTTGTTTTCTCTTTTTATGTGCGTCATACGCGCTTATCTCGCGAATGTCACGATATAATATGCAACAGACTTCCATGAGATCTGATGAATTAACGTGCATTTCCTCTTTACCACCACGTCAAACAACGGGAGGAATTAAATACTTTCTACACATTACAGTTGTCAAAATATCATTAGTTGATAGGCTATTTGGTGAAGACAATAATACGCAACATAAAAATCTTTCATTGCCAACATTCAGGCCCAATGTTCAAACTCAATGGCCACCAATTGGAGGGAATGAGGAAGACGATTCACCGATATTTTTACAACTTTCGCCAATATACTATGTAGTATTGCATAATGATGAAAACAATAAATCCTTTGAACGATTATTGCATAAAGTCCGACCTCAACATTCATATTATCTTCCACCACCATCGGTCGCGTCAACAAACTCTAGGCAATATACCTCAACCATAACTTACGCAGTTCGCACCTCAGCCACCAACCTATTATCATACTTTAAAAACATTGGTGGAGGGCTTTACCTAAACATCACATCTTCAAATGTTAACTGTAACACCGCCTCTAAGTTCGATCACGAAAGTACAAACGAAAAGATTCTGGGATACTCTAAAATCAAAAACCTAACAACCTTGATACTTAATCATCCTCGACCATTCATGAAGACGTATCCAATTTGGGCTAACGATTCGTTTGCGAATGCCATCAACTTACACGGTAACCCTAATTCTTTCGGAAGTGGTCGGAATGTAAAAATAGGAGAAATCAAAGTGCATATTGAACTGGAGGAATATGCGAATTCACGAAGTCACATCGATGCCACCATCATAAATTATGACGTTCGTTCTTCATCTTCAATGCCGGGTTCAAAAGCAACGATATCCACTGAAACAAACTTATCCTTTGATACTGTTCAACCAAAGATACGGTCCAAAGTAAGTAGAAACGTTCCTGCGATTCTGAAGAGATCGAAAGCTAATAAGTCATTAGTATCAATGAAAAAGACGGGTGATGAAAATTCGAATCCAGAGTTGAATAAAAAAAAATTCACCGACAATTTCGATAATAACGGTGCCGTCAACAAGGATAACAGTAAACCCATTTGCATCAGTAATTTTCCTGAAAATTCAAACATTACGTCACGTGATAACTCGCACTCGTGCCTCAAGCAGTTTGATGATAACACTGACGAAAAAAATAGTATGAAAGCCATCTATAACAAGAATTCCACTGAGAATTCAAGTAGCAAATCATGTGAAACACTTTTGTGCCGGGAAGAGTTAACATCTGCATTGAACATAACCGTACCCAAAAATCCAATGTTGCGTGATATAATGGAGCGTGCCCTACGATTATACAAAGGTCAGTGAATTACAATCGAACCCTGGTGAATTCTCGAAATATGTAATTGATAATCTATGTTTCCTCGAAAGGTATGGAAAAAAGCATGAATGAAAATTCGCTAGCAGATAATGTCGATATCATTTCTCCAAGCCATAGTCTTTGTAATGATACTCAGAAGCAAGTTGAAAAAGATGAATGATTGTTACTTCACTGGCTAAATTCAAGGTATTTCAATATCGTCCCGCAAGACTAAAATTTTTATTACAATTTATATAAGCGACCTGGATTATTTGCATGTAATGCCTCAATAAACGAAATTCATTAATAAAAAAGTGATCTTTTTAATATTGCACATATCTAAACAAATATACCAAGTTTTAAAAAATGGTTGGTTTTCTTTTTTAAAGGGATTTATTTGAATTGATTAATGAAAATGTTCAAGGGTAGAGTATATTTTTTCAAATTATAAGAATTTTCTTTTAAAAATTTACAATTATGTCATTATGATTGTTTTTATTGAAAAATAATAAAAGAATTAATAGAATATTAATACTTCACATGATAACTAACTTTATACAAAAATAAAGTTTCAATTAATACTCTAAATCAAATTTAAAAAATAAAAAAAAAAATTTTTTTTAAATATATATACAGTAGGAAACGAAAAAAATTGCCTTTTTTCAAATATATTTAACTTAATAAACTTTAAATATAAATACTTAAATATCTAAAAATTAATTTTACTTAAGGTTATTTTATAACTTTTATTATTATTATTATTTTATATTTTATTTTAATTAAAAAATTTTATTTTATTATTATTTTTTTTTTAAACTGGCTCATCCTTGTTTTATTTGTGAGAAAGATTTATTGTGTACATATGATTATGTGTATTTACAATTTCTATGTCTTTTTAAAATACAAATGCAACTATCTAAAGATAGATTTATCCTTCTTACTGATTATCTTGTTGCCATCTACTATGGGACTTAACATGTCAAGGATGACTAATTAGTGTTGTAATTAGAAGAAAAAGAAAAAGAAAAAATTGTGAATGGATTTGTAATTCCTTTAAATGACCAATCTATGTAGCGATTGACAAGGTCTACATATTGTTCTTTGATTAGTAGTTCAGATAATATGACATTTGGTGATGGTTGTACTTGAGTTTGACTTTTAGATCATTTGTCTTTTTTGATGATGTTATTTACCATTTTCCATTCTACAGTGTGTTTACAGCACTCCTTCCATATTGAATATAAAAATTCTTTATATTGATTTATATACTTTTGAAGTATTGATTATATTGTTATATGTAAATTAGTATAGTTGTTGATTGCCAAAGTAATGTCTTTCCTGATGATGCCTTTGATAAGATCTGAGATTGCTTGGTCAGATTTGTTAAAAAACATGTTTCTTATTATGTAATGGAGAGAAGAAGTGATAATAAATGCTTTGCAGTTTTTCAGATTAAGTATGAAGATACTTGTTAGTTTTTGCCTATATGTTTTTTATGTTATGATATATAAGAAGGCATAAAAAGTAGTTTCTGTTTCTAGATATTTAATATAGTTTTTATTTCTGTATATGTGTGATTTGCATTGGTTAAGTTTGGTCATAGTGGATAGTTCATCATTCCAAAGTTAATTGCAAATTTTCAAGTGTTGTGATCAGTTGTAAATATATTTTATGATTAATGTTATTGGGGTTGAGGCAGTTTAAAGTGCTTTGTCAGTCAATTATTTTGTCCTTTTACATATCAATCCATGTTCTATTCCTTTTAAGAAGTTTTCATTGAGCTAGATGTTTGATATGAAATATTGTCTTGCAGAAATCTTTAATTGATATGTCTATTATATTGTGTCTCTATATGACATAGCATAAATTGTTTTGCGAAGTAATGGTAAAATTGAATTCTCTTTGATTTGATATCATATTGATATAGTTGATTTTTACCAGTTGATCAGCTGTTTCATTGCCTATGATACTAGTGTATACTTTTACTTTGTGTGGAGAGTATTGAATTCGATAGTCTTTGCATCTTTATACAATGTTGAGTATAATACTTCAATTTCTAGTATTTCTAATAGCTTTATAGGCTAGAGTATATATGACTTTATTTATTGCATCAATAGCTACTTGATTGTCTATGTAGACTACAATTGTAGTATTTCTGGGAATAATTAAGATTACTATGAAAATTGTCATTAGCTTTGTCCTAGTTGAGGATAGTGAGCCTTGTACCTGCCCTTTAAATATGTGTTATTAATTGAGTTGATTAGTGAGGATCCAACTAAATCCCATATAATTGAATATATTGAAGTAGTCTAAGGATCCATCAGTGTATACAGTGAATTGATAATATTGTTCATTTGCTGTAGAGATGTTAAGAAGCTCTTGAAGTAGTCTGGTGTCTCCTGTCATTTAATTATATAAGATGTTGAGTTTACATTTATATGTTCTATAGTTCGTTGAGTACTGTATGCTAAGATTTGAACTCTTCAATGTGAATAGTTGTTTAATATATTACTGAGGCTTTTGTAACTGTATGTGACTGGAATTTGTTGAATCTGGAACTTTGTTTTAGAGAAAATACATTGTTATATTTGTATGGAGGATTCACTGACTGAACATCCATTGTAAGGTTCTATGTATTACTAAGGCTTTTGTAACTGTATGTGACTGGAATTTGTTGGATCTGGAACTTTGTTCTAGAGAAAATGCATTGTTATGTTTGTATAGAGGATTCATTGACTGAACATCCATTGCAAGGTTCTAGTAATGAGTTTTTTGTTATATGATTGTAGTATATGTAAACTATCTTTTCCTATGCGTTTTTCTGTTTTCTATCAATTGTTTCAGCATTCCTGTTCATTACTAAGGTCCAATGCTTGAGTATAAGGCATGTCACTATCTTATGTTGATAGAAGGTATTGTAGATTTCTATGAAATTTAGCAAGTTTAGATCTATGAGTTGTTATATAGTTTCTGTCAAGTTTGTGAACCATTTGGGAGTATATGTATTGTGTTTCTTGTGATATTTTGAGATACGATTCCAAGGCAAGATTCTAGTGCAATCTTTATTCATGATTTGACAAATAAACATGATATTATATTTTTATAGTTGTTTTCTTAGTATGTTTGTCTATTTTGTGCTGAAGGTGTTCTTCTAAATTATCTCTTATTTTTTTAATTAGAGTAATGGATTTGGGATATTGAATTAATATATTAATTTGTTTAAATAATCGTGAGTAAGATTTGTACCTAGTTTATGAATTGCCTTACTTAAGTAAGTATAGACAGGATTGAGGGACCAGAAGTCATTTTGTAGTTATTAAAGTCTAAATAATATTATTTGTCCTGCTAGATTGGGTTTGTTAATTCTAGAGATAAGATTTGTTGCATGGAATTGCAATTGTCTTTCAAAAAGGTTGATAATATTGTATTCGAATTTGTTGAAGAGCATGTTGTTTGGAACTGATCTTGCTAAGTCAACTTTGTATTTAAAGCATTAATAGTATTGTGATATGATTTTATTGCACATTGTTTCTGAGAGTACCATGTCAATTAGGAGGTATTCTAAGGCTGAAATAAGGACATAGTTGATAATATATCTTGCTTGTTTGTCTGTGATCTTTTTGAATTTCATGAGATTTGTGATTCTGTTGACTTTTTCTTTTATTAGTTGTACTTGGTATTATTTATTGCCTTTGAATATGTACCATGTTCCTAAAATTATGGTTGGTATATTTGGTGTAAGACCTTGGATAATCTGATTATTGAATGTGACTTCTTGGGTTCTATTTTGTTATGTGTCATTAATAATAAGTAGTGCAGATTTAGTTAAATTGATCTGAATGTCATTGATAATATAAAATTTTTGTACAGTGTTTAAGATGTGTTGAATATCTTATTGATTATTTGTGAACTATATTGTGTCATCTATGTATGCACTAGCAGTAATGTCTATGTAGTCAATAGCCCAATCTGTTCTAATATCTGAGTAACTTTGTAATGTGATAGTGTAGCCTTTGCATTTTTCGGATATTGTGATGAGAAGAGGATTATAAAAGATTCTTCACAGAAGCAGAGATATAGTATTACCCTAATCAATACCATCTTCTATTTTGTAGAATCTGTGAGGCCAAAGGGGATGAGTATTGTGTTTTATCAATATTGAAGTAAGTTGGTGATTATATTTATGATCTTTGTTGAAACTTTGGTTTTATGTAATAATTTTTGAAGCATCTGTGTGGATACTGAGTCATATACTTTGCTCATGTCATGGCTTAATATCCATGCCTGTTAAGAGTTTTGCTTGATATGTTTAATGATGCTTTGGATGATATAGATGGGTTCTTGTGTACTGCATCCAGGAAGAGCTACCCAATTAAGTGATGATAAAATGGAAAATTGTTGAAGAATTTTTGTGAGCCTGTCATTGATACATTTTGTGAAAAATTTTTAATAGGTTTCTAACAAGGCTATAGGTTTGATGATACTAATATCATTGTTCCAGGGCTTTGGTTTTGAAATTGGATAAATTGAGCTTTTTTTCCATTCAATGGGAATTGTACCTGTGTATAAGATTTTGTTAAAAAGATCTATTATTAATTGAATTACTTGAGGCCTTAAATTTTTGTATACAATATATGGGATTTGTGAAGGATCAGGTGCAGAGGTATTGTTTCTAAATTTGATAACCAATTGAATTTTTGTGTTTGTGAAGGGTGCAAGCATGTCAGAATATCAGTAGTTTTCAATGCTTTGTTTGAATGTATATGCTTCTATCCATTGAAATCAATTTTGGATATTATGTATATCTCCTTTCTTTATCCATTTTGTAAAGTGATCCTTTGCAATTTGTTTAATTTGTGTTGGATCTATAGTAATGGTAATCAAGAGATCTATTATAATCAGTTTGTTTAGGATGATGTGATACTAAGATCTATTTATTATTGAATTTATTATGGCTTTTTTGTTAGATACCATAAAGTCCATCTTTTTGTCAATTGTGCATTTTATT